AAGCTGCAAAATATAATTGAATATGAATTAAACTGTAAACACATAATTGACTTATTTGTCTATTTTTCTCAGAGACAAAGGCACAGTGCTAGTTTCCTGTGAAGACATTCTAAACCATGTTAAAACTTGTCCAGTTTGTAACTGGCCTTTAGAATTTGTACAGGGCTTATTTTCTGCCCAGAAACTGATGTTATTATGTCTCTTCCAGCTATATTAAAAATGATTTTTTTTCTTATATGTTTACATCAGATCTAAAGCCCTCACAAAACATGAAGACATATTTAAATGTAATTGTTTTTGCCGATTCTCTGGACATGATTCTAAGGTAGATAAAATTAAGACTTCATTAAGAGTTGGTCATTTATCCAATGTCTATCTATGATCATTGTTGTCCACACACTGACTTAAAATTGCCTCCTCACGATTCATGGCACAGCATTGTCAACAATTTCAAAAGTGTTTTCACACTCTCATTTTGCTTGGATCCTCACTAAACCTTGTGATGTACTCAGAGCAGATTCTGGTTCCATCTGACACACCAGTGTCACTATTCTGAAGAGAAGTTTGGTATTCTCTAGCAAAATCAAAAATGTACCCACCCTATGACCCAGCAATTCTAGGCATATACATGACAGAAACTCATGTGCAAAAGGAAAAATATGTAAGAATATTTTAGAACAAGGACTGAAAAACCAAAACTCAAACTGACAATTACCTAAATATTCATTCTTTGGGAATATATACATTGTGGTATAGCCACAAAATGGCATTTTATATATCCATATGAAAAGGTCACAAAAATAGAGCGAAAAAAGCAGGATACAGAAATACTGGCATAGTACACTATATGGGTAAAAGTTTAAAATATGAAAACCAGATATATTTTGGGGATAAACATATAGTGAAAAAATAAACTTGTTATCAACTACAGTTCAGTGACAAAAGGAAAAAATGGGGTTGGAATAAAATAAGAACTAAAAGTATATCTCTAACATTTTATTTCCTATACAAAAAAAAAAAAAAAAAAAGGCAGGGGGGACAAAAGAAGGAGAAGGAGCAGCAGCAGTGTGGCTTGGGAGTCAGACATACTGATTTAAGACTCCTATAGGACCTTTCCCCTCTCTGGACCTGTTTCATACTCTGTACAAATGAGGAGGTAGACTAGATAATCCCAAGGCCCGCACAGCTCTTAAATTCTGTTGTTCTGACCTTGCCACCAGTCCTTGTCTGTATATGCTTATGTCCTTAATTTCCATATACCCAGTTAACTATCTTCTATACATCTAAGTAAGAAATTGGCATTTCCTCTCCTGGTACAGAATGTTATGGGAATTAAAAAGAAAAACAAAGAAACATATTAGTTAAAATCTTTTTTTCCTTTTTTAGTAAGTGCCAGAAAGTGAAAGCAATATATTGGCTAATAATACTGGAAGAAACAGAGGGAAGAAGAGGCCTAGGGCCTCTCTAAATCCACAGATTCAGGATGGGCACAATGGCTCATGCTTAGAATCCCAGAACTTTGGGCGGCCAAGGCGGGCCAATCACCTCAAGTCAGGAGTTCAAGACCAGCCTGGCCAACACGGTGAAACCCTGTCTCCACTAAAAATACAAAAATTAGCCAGGCATGGTGGTGGCCGACACCTGTAGTCCCAGATACTCTGGAGGCTGAGACAGGAGAATCACTTGAATCCGGGAGATGGAGGTTGTAATGAGCCAAGATCACACCACTGCACTCCAGTCTGGGAGACAGAGTGAGACTCCATCTCAAATAATAAAAAAAAAAAAAATTGATTCAAATGTTATAATCATGATAAAGTTTTTGCTTGTTTCATTTTGTGATTGCTTTTCCCCCTGTTGTACCTTTATTCACATGCATATCTTCTCTATATACTTTCAAAGGTGGCTAGTTACAGGTCCAGGTTTATGACATTGTTAATGTAAACTTTAAACTACCAATAGATAAAAAGTTCCTCCACTTCAAATCCCAAAAACTACAGCTCTACACTCTCTTATAATTCCTATCATGGCATAGATGAGCACTGCAGATATTAAACCGGTTTCTGGATTTTATACTTATTTCCTATCTGCATTTTCCTACAAGAATAATATTCACTCACTGACTTATGGTAACATTGTTTTACACTTAAATATCCCATTACACCTCACAAGTGTTTTGTTGTTCATTATATGACTAGAGCATCACAAAAAGCCTGTGAGGTGCATGGCTTATCAGTACTATATGCCACCCTCAATTACCTGTGCCTTTCATTTTGTTTCAGGAAATAATGGGTCCAAAAAGAAGAGAAATTGACTGATTTCCTCATGTCTCACAGGCAATAGATGGCAGAATCGGAGTAAGAAGGTTCTCCAGTATCTGCTGCTTTCCCCTGAATTTGTTCACAATGTACAGCTCAGTGATGCCTGAGAAAACATCTTTGTTGTCCTGAGGCTGGCCAGAGATAGACATTTGACTCCATGGTTACTTGGAGAGGTGGTACATCCTCTTAGGGTAAATGGGCTCACGCTGGAAAGCACCACGGACCACCCAGGATCATGACAGCATTCCCAGGGTCAGAAGCAACATATGGAGAAACCCCTTATCCTGAATGCATCTAGGTCAGGTTTGAGCTGTAACTCCTGACCAGATTTAGGGGAGCTAGAGCAGAAAGTTTAATGTCTGATATTGGGATCCCAAGGTTAGAGTTCCAGCCCCACTGCTGATTGGTTGTAGAACCTGGGAGACCTGCCACTTCCCTTCTCAGTTTCTTTTTGTGAGAAAGGGGAGGCAAACAACTGACCTCACAGAAGCACTGAAAGTTATCATCTGAAAGAATGGCCATAAGATTGTTACTGTCACCTCAGTTCTCTTCTTCTCCATTGCTTCTGTGGACTCTCATAGCAATCCCTTCTAATTGTCTTGAGAAGAAAATACCCAGGGCCAGTATTGCTTCTCTTAGCCAGCCAATTAGTCAAAAAAATACTTTCTGATGTCCCAGAAAGAAGCTTATCTGTGCTGGGCAATGTCTAGGATATGGATAGGAATTCAACCACACAGCTGTTGCCTTTGAAGAGATCACAGAGAAGCTGTCATTCTGAGGGAACAGGAGGTAGCAGTAAATACTGTAACAAAGGGATAAAGGATATAAGAATACAAAGGAGCAATCAACTGACCAAGCTGTCGCATTAATTAAAGACTTCAGATATGAAACGTTTAAGTAAGTCCTAAAAAATTGAGCATGTTTTCACCCAGGTAATGCAGTGAGAGGAAGCGCCTTCCAGACAGGAGAAACAAGTACAAAAACCAAGAGACTTGAAACAACTTGGACTGTTGAAGGAAATGGCCTGAAACATAAGAAGCAGGAAGTAGTAGTAAATAGTGCAGTAATAAATAGTTAAGCTAGAAAGCTGGAAAGCAGCCAGATCATGAGGGGCCTTGAATGCTGGGCTGAAAAGTGGTCTTCATTCCAGGCAAATTATGTAATGCTGTCATGCAGTTCAGTAGCCCCATTTGTCATGCAAAATTACAGACTACGTTTCCATTTCGTGAAACTGCCCACTTTAAAAGGCAACATCAATTTCAGACAATACTGATATGTTAATATTTATTCCAAAAGCTGCCTTTCCTTGTGCAGGGTGATAGTTTTCAACAATCACTCTTGAGACATCTGCTTTTCGTGCCCTGCAGCTAGTGGTACTCATGTGTGCAGGGCACTCACATTTTAGTGAATGAGGGGAAAAAAAGCGAGTGACAGGCAAGGAATAAGAGGTGAGGTTTAGAAAACTTTGGGGTTCTCTACCCTTCTCCCAACCATCCCACTATTCTTCAATTCTTTTCTCTCTTCCCATGCAGAATGGAATCTCCTAAGAAACAATCACACTCTCACACAGGGTAACTAATAGTATTCCAAGTATCTGAGGATTGGAAAGAAGTGGGCCAAGAACCATTTGAATTACTGTGTGGGTGAACCTGATCGTGTGTGCACGATGATTTGTCTACTTCAGTGTTTAAGCAAGGGGGGGCCCTAAAGCCAACGAACATCCACAGTAATTAACAAATATTCAGCAAATAATAAATAACAGATGTCTATGGGAACCAACAGTTTCAATAGCCCTGGGTGAGTGGGATGAGCAAAGGCTCTGCAAGGTCAGTACTATGCCAGGGTGGGGCTTGATTACTGAGGACCCTGCTGAGGCCATCTGCACCAGAAATATTTTGTGTTCCATAGGTAAACGCTGGTAAGAAGAGGCAGATCACTGAATGGTAGCATCTGGGTAGTGCTTGGCTATGTATGTGTAATACAGAGGACTGATATAATAGAGCTGTAGGTTAACTCGGGCTCTCCTTTCATTGGTCCTGACTTCCTTCTTTTATTTTAGTTTTTTAGAGATGGAGGTCTCACTACGTTGCCCAGATGGGACTTGAACTGCACTCAGGGATCCTCTCACTTCAGCCACCTCAGCAGCCGGAAATACAGATAATACACCAGCACTAGCCTCTAATTTCCTTCTGTATGCATAGTCAACCAAGTTTTGAACTAGGCTTTCAGCAGCCTACCTCCCTTCTCTCCTGTTCATGAAGACACTCTTTTGTGACACTTCCACTTGTTTTCTGCTGTGTTATAGGGTGGGGACAGAAGATTTAAAAAAATAACCTCTTACCTTCTAGGTGTTTGCTGTTGGTCTGATGATCTCATTCATAACATTGGGGTGGGTTGAAAGAAACCATATTGTCCCTCAAAATCTTTCCAGCTTTAGAGACGTCTAAGGAAGAAGTGAGTTGCTGGTGCTCAGACTGGTGGACACATGACTTTGATACAATGAAAACAAAGTCATGTAAGGGTTCTTGGTGGTAGG